CATAAGCATACAGATACTGCAGTACGGGGCACAGAGAGAGAGAGAGAGAGAGAAATGAGAAATAGAGAGAGTGGTCACAAACACACACACACACACACACACACACACACACACACACAAACAAACGTATACAGAGGGGCAGACAGTCACACACAGCTATAGAGACAGAGAGGCAGAAAGTAACACATACAGACAGACAGACACTAAAGTCAGAAGCAATAAAGAGCAAGTAAGCTGCATGCATCACGTTGTTAGATGGCAGGTAGCGTTCTTCAAAAGCGTTGGTTGGTTTCAGGATCCTGGATGGGTCAAATGACTCTTTCTTCGTTTCTCGTTGCAGGGATTTTCGATGGTACTGAAAGAGACTATTGAAATAGATAATACTGAGTTGCAGAACTTACGAAGAGGTAGTCTGGAGTGCCGTTCCCATGTCTGCTCCTGTCCTGCTGTTTGTTCTTTCCGTCTCTTTTACGTGAGTCCTACGATTAGAAGGAAAATAGAGGTATTGTTACTAAAACTGCAGCAACATTGTCCTATCTTAAAATTGGCATCACACCGAAAATCACAGGAAACAAAACGTGGTATGAATAATAATCCAACATGGGGTCGATATCGACTTCCAGCAAACTTGTAAAAAGTAACGTGTTCTGAGGGATTGAGTCATTCATATAGCTGAACAACGACAAGTCTAAAATTTCCTCAAGGCATCTGACATCTTCTCTTGGCATGAATGAATGAACAAACCAACAAATGAATGAATGAATGAGTGAATGAGTGAATGAATGAGTGAATGAGTGAGTGAATGAGTGAGTGAAGGAGGAATGTTCCTGACCTGATTGTTGTTGTCCCGGCGTTTGTTGTTGCGTTTCCTGTCGTCCTTCTCCCTGCTGAGGAGCCGAGGCGGCGGCGGCGCGCGGGACGAGAACTGGTCCGACTCACCGTCACCCTCCGACCTGGTGAGGGTGTTCAAACAAACAATAAGAAACAGCAAACAAATGCATAATGTTTACCTTGGCATTTGGCCTGCTCTATCAATTTGTACTCCAACATACACGGTCAGACAGGAGTCTAAATCCCTCCTGCTATAAAATTGCAACATGATGTAACCCAACACTAGTTACCATGGTGACAGACTTCTGGTTTAAGTTATTGACCTTATTTGTTTGCAGGAAAGAAACTGACCAAAAAGATGTGTTAAGCCAGTACATATTTTCTGTACTAATTCTCGTTTAAAAAAATTAGGACCCCATTCACACTCAGTTTTTCTATTCGATTAACAGGGCTATCCGAATAGAAAATTGTCTATCCGAATCAATGTTGAACTCACTCATTGTTTTTGTTATTTTTATCGTCGTCATCCTCCTCCTCTTCTGTGCTTGAGTCGCCGCCATCTTTGTCTCGTTTCTCCTTATTCCCGTTCGGCTTCTCCCGCTCCTTTCGCCGGGTCTTGGGCCGCTTCCTTAGGTCCACGTCCAGCCCTGTCTTCAGGACCCTGTTCTCAGGGTGCGGGGACCGGTCCCTGGGGGATGGAGGAATAAGTGAATGAATGAATGAATGATTGGTTGGCTGGTTGTGTGAGTGAGTGAGTGAGTGAGTGAGTGAGTGAGTGAGTGAGTGAGTGAGTGAGTGAGTGAGTGAGTGAGTGAGTGAGAAAATGAATAAATGAGGTGAGTGACTGGATAAAGAATGAATGAGTGAGTGAGTGAGTGAGTGAGTGAGTGAGTGAGTGAGTGAGTGAGTGAGTGGATGAATGAGTGGATTAAGGAACGGATTAAAGAGTGAATAACTGGTTGCAAGGACGAACAGGGGGAATGAATGAGTGAATGAATAAATGAAGGAATGAGTAAAGATATGAATGAATGAATGGATGAATAAACGAGCTGTACATATGAACTAACAGATGAATAAATGATAGAGTGTTGAATAAATGTATATATAAAAGGAATGAATGAATGGATGAATGAACTAACGAATAAATGACTGAATCAATAAACGAATGAATGAACAAATGAATGAACTAGAGTTCCACGATCTCATACCTTCGCCAAATGATGTTAGCCTTTATGAATAAGAAATATACTAATCACCCTGATTATGCAAGTAGGATCCTCAATTGCATGAATTATATCAGTCTGTTGATCATATTCTCCACCAAAAGACAGTCTTATCTTAACAAAGAATGCCATTTTCTCATAAATTATGCAAATATGGTCCTTATTTGAATAAGTTATGTTTAATTATGTTCACCTTCACTTAACTTTCAAACACCCCAAGTATGAAATTCCAGGCAGTTACCACTACGCAATTATAACATTTTCTCATTAATTATGCAAATTAAGTCTTCATTTGCATAATCAATATTTGCCTGTGTTTCTCTCGTTCTTAATAACATATGTTACAAGCTTGAACTTCCTATCATGGAATGCAGCTGATTTATAGAATTTCCTCATTAATTATGCAAATTACATCAATATTCGCATAATTGTAATATCATTATGTCAAGCATCACTTAAGCTACCTACATACCAAAAATCACGATGATCCATCAATCGGTTCTTAAGTTATCCTCTTTTAAACATTTGTCCTTTAAACCCCCCTGCAGTTCTAGAGCAAGCCGCTAGGGGGCCTAACCTCACGTCACTTCTTCCCCAGCACAAGAGCTACCTACCAGCCAAATTTCATCACCATAGCATGTCTGGATCTTGAGATATCAAAACCGGAAGTTCTGCTGCAGTACCATAACAAGCCGCTAGGGGGTCCAAAATCTAATCATTTTGAGGTCTCATCAAGACCTACCCATCTACTAAGTATCAAGACAATCCATCAAGGCCTTCTCAAGTTATCGTGTTGACAGACAGACAGACAGACAGACACACACACACACACACACACACACACATACACGAACGCCCCTGAAAACATAACCTTCTTGGCGAAGGTAATGAATGACAGAACGAACAAACGAACGTACGAATGAACGAATGAACGAATGACGATAGTCCCTTACCTGGACGGTGGCGGTGGCGGGGGTGACCGTGGGTTGAGGTCCGGGTACCGCAGTCTCGGGTCCTCCTGTTCCGCCTCCCATTTATATTTGTATGTACATGTATGGATAGAGGAATGCCGAAGAACGGGAAGAATGCCGACTGTTCCTTACCTAGAGGGTGGGGGTGGAGGAGGTGACCGTGGAGTGAGGTCCGGGTATCGGAGTCTGGGGTCGTCCTGTTCCGCCTCCCGTTTCTTCAGTCTGGCGCCGGGGATCTCATGGTTCTGCCGTGAGTCAGGCGGTCGTTTATGCACGTACTTTAGTTATTCATTGATTATCATGATCGATTATTGGTACAAATTATTATTGATTATTGGTAATATTATTGGTAAAATTAGTGTAAGAAATCACGGGGGAAAGAAGAGAGATATCAGGGTTAATGGAAGGGAAATATGTTGTTAGTAGCAAAGTTAAAGTTAGACATTATCAGGCAAACTGTTAAACTGAATTTCTATTTCTGCTAGTTAGTGGAAGAATTTGCAAGAAATGGGTTAATATATGAATATAGGCATATTATATAAGTTCTAGCTGCAACCAAGAAAATGGAGAGAAATTAAAACAAAAAGTAGAACATGACAATGTTGAATTCAATGAATTCTTTAAGTGAAAAAGAAAAATGATACCTTCAGCTCTACCAGCTCAAACTCGTCCGGAAACTCCTGCATCATTTTCTCCACGTTCTCCTCCGTCAGCGCGTACGTCTGGCCTGCACTTTTCAGCACAAACGCTCGGGGGCGCTTCTTGAAGGCCAGCGTGGCGCGGACCCAGGCGTACAGTGCCCTGAAGGCGTCCTTCGGGTCGAACTTTCCCACCAGCGTGTCCATCCCGGCCCGAACGCGAACCTTCAGTTTGTCGTCGTCATCTTCCGCTGGGGGTTGCACCGTACCCTGTATTACGCCAGTTAAAAGTCTTTTGAAAATATGATCATAATACTGTTACAGGGTACGTCGGTGAAGGTTAAACATCAAGGTAATACGATACGCAAAAAACTTTCGTCAGTGACACTAGAGAGTTGTCATTTCCAGATTAGTGAGTCATATCCAGTTCCTTGAGTTACATCCAGCTGCTTGAGTAACTGTTTTTTTTTTGCGTATACATATATCTTATTACCTGGATGTATAACCTTCACCGACATGTCATACCCTGTATTATAAACGTATTACACATCTTTGGCTCACTGCTAATGTCATATGCCTGGTATGTCTGTAAGGTCGTGGGTCATTTATCCTGAGTGCGGCCGTAGGGACAATTTATCTTGTTAATCTTAACTTTATATTTGCCTCTTATATTTTATAATAAGAAGCTACAAATTGGACTCACCAGGATTTCGAAGACGTTCGGCAGGTCATAGAGCCGCGTGTCTGCCCCGGAACCGGAAGCTGGGTACTGGACGCCACCACTGGTCAGCACCAGGCGGGGGGGAATCTTGGCGTGCGTCAGGGTGGCCCTCACCCAGATGTACACGTCCTAAGGAGAAGGTTTAACGTTAGGGTTAGTAAAAGAATTTTATTGCACGACAGTTGCACATGGTACAATGTATGGCAGCGATTATTGAACATAGCACAAAAAGAAAAGGGTATAGAATGAAAAGTAACATCCTAATTACTAAACATCAATGGATAAAATGATATTTGATATGTTAGTATGTGTTGGCCCCCTATCGGTTTTCTAGGTATTGCAGCAGGAATTTAGGTTTTGATGTATCGTGATCTGGACATGCTATGGTCATGACTGTTTCTCAGATATTGTTGTAGTATGATTTTTAACGAAACGAAGCTATGGTACCATCATGGTCAGCATGGACCTACGGCCACCTATCCCGTCACAAGACAATTCACAGACTGTCTCAAGAATGTCCTCAACAAGTCTTAAACATGTTGTACGACGATTGTGGCCCGGACTCTCTAGTAGCACTTTATCTTCAATGCGGCAATTGTCCTAACTGTGTCTCCTAATCAAGAACAAAGCGCTGCCTGTACGGACCTGTACTGAGTATAATCCCTTGAGCATCGTGCGTTACTGAACGTGATCGGAGCAGTGTTCTGCGTATGAGCATTACGCCATGGTCTGAGGGAAAGGGTGATCCGGCATGCACGGCTAAACTTTTAAGTCCCTGTACTTTCTAATAGTCACTACCTAGTAGATACAACAATCATCTCTTTGTTTTCTGGCACCCTAGATATCTACAAATCATTAAGGATACAAAAAGTGTGTTTCGGGTTCTGTTAAGCAACATTCTAGCTCCTGGCTATTCTAGCTTCTAGCTAGTCGAGGTTGTCTCAATCATGATGTTTCTGACTTAGGGAGTATACTAGTCTCCACCAGACTCTTTTTCAGGCTGAATAAATAGTAGAAATCGACCTCAAAAAATGTAGCTGGCAAAATGGACCCTCTATCGCCAGCCAACTCTCCTGGCCAGCTACAGTCTTTTTAGGCCGATTTCTACTATCTATTCAGCCTGCAAAAACTTCTGGTGGAGACTAAAAAGATGCTGCTACAGTCTGATTCATGTAACCCGCCACCTTGGACTGGCATTCATGTACGCGGCAACCAATACAAAGTGAAAAATTAGCTCCTCACCCTGAGAGTTTTCTTGGCGGGAAAAGTCCTGACGATGGCGTCCTCCCCGCAGTACACCATGACTTCTATCCTGTTGGGCCGGTCCGGAGGACTCAAGTCCAACTTCTTCACAGACTGAAACACAAGAAGAAACTTTGAAAAATACTTTCTGAAAATTTCGTTCCGTTTGACAGGAAAGACACTCACTCGTAGTTCAGTGTATATTTGCTACATAGAAAGTTTAAACGAGAACAATCTTTGTGCATTTTATGTACCTCTGCTTAGCACTAAGCACTTGGAAAAGAGTATGGGATCGGAGTTAAATAAATCATACCACTACCAGTGGACTAGCCCCTTGCTATAGTGATTGCTGCACTGTGTGGTCCAAGGGCTACTGAACCGCCCTGTGCACCACCTGTTGCAGGAAGGATCTTAACTTTATATTATTGTTTTAAGCCTTTTTCATTTATGATGGATAAAAATCATCCAAAAGAATGTAGGTACAATAGTGACAGTCATGGGCAATCCAATCTGGGTGTGAATACCTGATTCCTTTACCGTATACTTTCAAGAGCAAACAAGTAACACTTTTAAAACGTCCCCCACCCATGTGTTGCCCATACAATATCTCCCCTCTGTTCGTCTCTCCCGTGCCAGGCGACCAAATCTTATGATTACATGTTGTAGGTGTGTTTATACATAGTTCCACCCCCATTACAGTCTGCACTACAAACACGGCGTTAAGCCCTTGAGCCGGCTGTATGTGCCGAGCGTGGTTCTGACCGGCGTCTAATCGCACAGTTTGTCCCGAACACACATTACGGGGTCACGTGACACACGTCGCCATGGCAACGGCGACAACGCGTGACGCCATGATGACAGCCGCCATGTTGGACTGTCAGTCAGGAGAGGTCAAACGTAAAGTTTAGATGACCTGAATAAATGGCGTCGAAGGATTGTAATGGGGTTAGTGGGTTCTAATAAAATGTTTTAAGCTAAATTTTGTCTAGGCCTAACGCCATTTTTTGCGCCAAAGAAATTGCACAAGAAAAATACAACTTTCGCCAATCTCAAAGCAGATACTGTGAGCGAATTCGAATGCCGATTATTTGAGCTTTCATGAATTAAAGAATGATTCAAATAAACAAACAAAAATCGTCACGAAATATTGCGATGAGTTTAAACCAACGACAGAATAATTTACTCACACACAAGATAAAATTCTTCTGAACCACTGTTCTAACTCACCGTCCATGGGTTTATTGTAATAGATTGAAATAAAATATGATTCCGTTTGCAAAGTTAAGATTTAAGGTTAAGGTTATTGCGAATTCCTACCCGAAGGCTAATTGCAAATAACAAAAGAACATTGAGACAGGGTACAAAATAACATTATGTAATAACACGAGGTAATTGTCTAAAATTATAGCTATGTCTGAAGGGTTTGACTTCTCTTTTGTAAACCATGGAAGACGTAATAACCAAACGTACACATCATGGTATCGTATAGCGACAGCACAGCAGTACAGTTACATGTTGACAGGTTCTAACTAACGCGACGCCGGCTTACAAGTGTGTCCAAGCGGCGTGTAAGTGCGCTCTCGTGTGTGTCGGAATCGTCCGATATTTGCACAGCTTACACTTCAACACTGCTCGAAACGACCCCCTTTCTCTGCGATAGAAATTCTGCATGTTTTCGTCTCGGAAAGTCCTGCGTTTTGAGGGTCATTTTGTTGATTTTACTTCACTTCAAAACCAAGTTCATCGATGTAGTTTCTGCGAGACGTAAGCGTATCGATTAAAGTTGTTTTAGGCGGTTAGAAAAACGTTGAGCTTCGGTGAGGACTAAACTGCTCAATATAAGTGGATCAATGTTTGGAGCACATACAGAGGTGTCAGACAACCGCTGAGTACAGTTTCAACAGAATCCTTTGGAGAAGGGGTCCTTGAGAATACCACGCTATGCAAGTCGCTTTTCATTGAGGTCACGAGGAAACAGGTAAGGGTCAAACAAAATATCATCAACAAGATGCTTTTTGCTGTACGAGTTTCAGAACCGCCCGTAGACAAGGATCTGTGGTACCTTTTTCTGCAACAAGACAGATTACATGTTTACAGTACAGCCACGATTGTCCCAATACTGTTCTTGAATTGCTGTCGTAAACCTATAAAGTACTGCAACACAGTGCCTTCAGTCACTAGGTAAAACCCCTTGTAAACACATTCAGAACCTGCCCCCGACCGCCAACCAACCAAGGTTGGCGGTAGCTAGAGAGCAGTCTGACCAGATTTAATCGCACCTTTCGACGAATTTGAGTCAAATTTCATTCCAAACATCGCCCTGACCACTTTCTAACCCCCAGCCAACCAGTCCCCAAACATTTTCCAACCATAAACATTTTTTAAAATGTTTAAAAACATTTTAAACATTTTGAAACATTTCGGCTGGCGCAACAGAACACTATCCAACCACAGCCGACCTTGCTCCCAACCTACTCTCAACCATGGTTGGGGAAAGTTCGAATTCGGCAGTGTCTAGGAATAAATATTCGGTTATGCTACTCTCCAAGCAGAGGTTTGGGTCTTGGCTTATTTTTGGCGTGTTTTTAGGCTTTTATATCGGGGTTTCATTTTTGCACTGGAATTTCTTTTTACGCCAACCCATAAAAAATACCAGTGCAAAAAAAAAAAAAAACGATGAAAAGGCGTAGAAACGCGCCAAAAAAATAAGCCAAAACCCAAACCTCTGCTTGGGGAGTACGGCTACGTACAGTACTGTACGTGTGTGACGGGGGCTTAAGTTCGTTTCTCCTGGATTTATGACACAATAAACCTGCAGTATTACCCCACCAGGTGCGGGGTCAATAAAACACAACAAAAAAACGGGCTCGTTCTAAGTCCATAATCTCAGTCTATAATCTAAAACAAGCGGCGGGAGTGTGGATCCAGGCGGGGCAACAATTCCAAACACCGACATATTTACACTAGAGTTACATTAAACAAGAATCGTGAAATGTACATAACTGTTTCTATAGCGATAGGGATTATTTTGGCATTATTCTATATGCGGTAAAATCAAGTTCATCGGCGTTTCTGGCTTGAGTTATGGTTATTGTAACGTTACCAGGCATGTTAAAAGCGGAGGGTGGTTTGTACGCTTCCAATGTTTGGTAGGAAAAAGTCCGTACTGAGAAGTTGATCTCCAAGCAGATGTTGGGAGGGTAAATAGTAACATCTTCTTAGTTCGTCGTTTTCTAGTTTTCGAGGCTTGAATGTAAAAATTCTTAATAATAAAGGTCTTTGATTCAATATCATCTGCCTGTAGAGATAGTTCTTACCTGACATACGTCTAGATGAAGTTATTTTCTAACTTCGTGTGTAGGTACGTAAATATCGGTATATGCCTTCTACAAAATCACCGGGTTGTTGAGAAACAATAAAGTAGCTCACTCTTGCTCTTTCCATGACATGTACGCCTCACTCCTATGCGAAGTTCTTATTTTCTAGTTACAAAGTTATAAAACTTGTATAGGCACGTAAAGATGGGTATGTGTCTTGTACAATCCAGCTGTCTTTAGAGAGTAGTTTTACCTGGCATACCCCTGGATATAAGCCTCACTACTGCGTAGAGTTCTACCTGTATTGGGACGCAAATATCGCTATATGTCTTATACAATATCACCTTATTGTAGAGAGATAATACAGTAGTTCTTACCTGGTCCACTCCGAGATAGAACCCCCTTAAAGAACAGGCATCTATGCCGACACTTTGTACAATATACGGAGGTTGTAACTTGTAACTATATAGAGATATACATTCGTTCTTACCTGGTCCACTCCCAGATAGAATCCCCACTCGGGCACGTCCGGCAGGGTGAGGGAGTCCCGGGCCGGGTCCTGGGGGGTGAAGCCGGGCAGCAGGATCGGGAACTCGCTCTTCAGCCGCGCCACCGACACGCTTAGACTCGACCGGCGGCTGCTGGTTACGCTGGGCGGGCGGCTGGACCAACTACCCGGCCGGGGGACGCTCACGGTGGCCGGGGACATTGTAGGCTGGTATCTGTATCTGTATCTGTGTAGCCGGTAGAACCTCCCTTCGGCGTAACTTTGTTTCTTCTCGGGGTAATGCACGAATCCAGCGAATAAAGGGAAACCAGCTGGAGATAGGTCCGTGGCTATAGCTCGCCTGTGCTTGGGCTAGGGACATCCCGACAGGGTTCCGCTACGTTCGTACGGGGACAGGTATACATGTTTCTAAATGTAGCATGGGAAGCAGTCATACTAACCGTACAACCTCCGTAGAATTGCCAAATTGGGCCCGATCTCGGAACTACGGAAGCGTAAAATTGTTTGAACGTCTGAAAGTAAAAGTTGTCACGAATTCCTGATATCGCCTGTCCTAGCTGCTTTTCAGTGCAGAAAAAAATGTATTTCCGTACGTTTCTATATATATATACTAGTATGGGCTTCACCACCTTCGTATATACAGGACAGGTAAGGTATAACACCTGGTTTACCTGCCGTAATTTCCAAATATTTCTTGACACTACCTGGCGACGGCGTCACGATGGGAACACGAAGGTTACCTGGGACAGGTGTGCAGGTGAGTCACCTTTGAGGTTCCGATTCCTTCCACACTTAGGAACGCCGCACTTTCGCATGAAAACACAACTTCTAGTTCTCGTCCGCTCGATCCACCAACCCGAATCTACAACAAGGAACAGCGTTGTTTCTTAAGACAGGACGGTTTTGTCTTGATGACTTTCTCCTCTCAGAGTACCACAGAGCTCGCTGAAGTACGGAAATATTAGATCCAAGTTCTTCTTTTCTCGTGTAGGGAGGAGAATCCGTTTAGGAAAATCAGAAAGTAATCCTTTTTCTTCTCTCTGATCCGGATTTTTTTCGTGGAGAGAACGCTTGACGGTGTAAAGAACTCTCCAGTGCCGTAAGCAGGGAAAAAAACACCGAGGATCGTCACAGGCGACAGCCAATCACATCACGGTTACCATGGCTACACAACTGGGCGTGGTTTGCGGTTGGTGCACGTCTTTCACTCCGACACTTTGTAACAACCTGGACGTTGTTTATAGAGGAATTTACGGTGCTGAACATGAGAAAAGCCGGCGCGGTAATCTAAATGTTTTGGTTTCCCCCGCCCGAGGTTTAATGCACTCCCCGTGAATACCAGAACACGGCCGCTCGCACCTCGAGCGCGCTCAACCGCCGCGCAAATATTTGTCTACACATTGTTGGCGGCTTTCGCTGATTGTACGGCCGACTGGGAAGGTAAAAAGGGAGGGAAGGGACAATAGAGTGTGCGGAGGGCGGACAGAAAATTATCCCGGTGTCATGAGAGTTTAATTAATAGAGTAAACGGTTTGTATTAGATTAACTCCTACATAGCCTACAAAACATGTTCTTCCTTACCATTTATTGATCCATTTCCACCCATTTGCTCTTGTTTTTTGTCATGTATTTTGTCTCTGTATACTTGTACGTTTGGTGGTAAGGTTAAAATTAGCTATAGCTAGAGTACCTCACCACCATGCCTTGTATTGTCCATGTTGAATTGTAATTACTAGAGTAAACGGGGTGTCGGTAACTGTCAAACCGCTGTCAGAGTTCTGTGTGCGGTCCGTGATCGTCTGAGCTAGACAGGACGGACACGCATTTTACTTGGGGTTGTGTGGCGCAACGGCAGAGTGCTCGACTCGTAACCAAGAGGTCCCGGGTTCGAGTCCTGACATGCCACTGATATTGTGCCCTTGGGAAAGGCATTTTACACGACTTTCCCAACTTAAATCAAGTGAAAATGACTATTGCCTGCCCTGTCAAACCGCTGTCAGAGTACTGTGTACAGACCGTGATCGTCTGAGCTGGACAGAACGGACAAGGTTTGCTTTGGGAAGGGTAAATTGTACGGTGACGTCTGCTGACGCACGTTAAGGGCTGTCTTAACGTTTGCTCTCACTTAACTTAAGACATTCAATTGTTTAGTAAGTTTTAAGTTTGGCTTAATGTAGTCTTAAGGTTCCATTCATCCATCAATTCATTCATTCGTTCATTCATTTATTCATTCATTCGTTCACTCACTCACTCACTCACTCACTCAATTATTCTTTCATTCAGGTATTCATAGGTACCCATAAAACATTGGACAATAAAATAATACAGGCTTAAAAATACACACAAAAGCAGATACAAACAACCATAAAGATATACAATGTGTACATGTAGATTGTATCATGCATACATTTAGCATACTTGTAGCTAGTAGAGACGCAAGCTACGGACTTTTTTTCGTTTGAGTTTTGCTCCCACCGACGGTCAACAGTGGCGAGACTACTTTTAATTACAAACTTACATTTTGACATTTAAACTGGCCAACGTTAGTGGTACTATAAATCCAGACTGAGTGTAGATTGTATCTTATATTCAGGGACCCCCACATAGTTGTAACCAGGTTACCTCTGATACGTCTGAAGTCTCCAGTCGTTTCTGTAATTACGTGGCTTAACCGGACAACATCGCGTTAAAATTGGTTTCTACATATGCAAGTAAATGGGCTTAAAAGAACTTGATAGAGCTATTTCTTTTAAATTTTAATATATATTATCTTTCACCTTTCATTTGTTGTTAGTGATATTCCACCCCCAATTTGTGTGCGATTGTTCATGACTAACATATGGCCAAACGTTGCACGTTAGTGGGGTCGTGTGGCGTAGTGGCAGAGTGCGCGACTCGGAACTTAGACTAAGTTAGAGTCCCGAGTTCGAGTCCTGACATGCCACCGATCTTGTGCCCTTGGGAAATGCACTTTACACGACTTTCCTCACTTAGCTCAGGTGTAAATTAGTATTGTCCTGTCATGTATTTGTCCCCTGTGTTGGTTGCGGCATTAATATAAGTTGAAAAAACTTGAGTGTGTCGTCACCACGTCTGGTGATTACATGTTGGAATTAAAAAAAAAAAACGTTGCACACACGAATGTCAACAAACACTCGAGTGACAAATCAATCAAAATGAGCCTTGAATACAAAATTATTAGTATTGCAGATTATTGGAGTGCCAAATCTTACATTTGTATATGATCGCATCGCTATACGTGCTATCTGTACCCCATATTAGTCCGGGAATTTTATACGGAACGTTAATCATCATTTTTCGTGTTGTGGATATTTCCCGTTCAGGATATCCATGTGTACTGTGGATCTAAATAAACCAACCAACCAACCGTGTTGTATGAAGATATCTCTTATAAGTGAAAAAATTATGTGTTAACACACTCAGGTAAAGGTGCTTAGCACGTGAATGGAATGAAATAATTATCTGAACTAAAAAAATGAGATAAATAGCTAGCTCAGTGTTGCGAGTTTCCAGATTATTTATTGCTAACATTTAACCCAACATTGCTCACCCACACGTATGCAAACACACTCCGCTGACAAATTGAGCCAACAAAGCCATGAATACACGGTTATTGCGACTCGTTGGAACGCCAAATCTTGAGTACACCCGCCTGAGTGCACAACCTTTGCTCTGCCGATGACTGTGTTTGTTCACTGTTCAAGCAAGACTTGATAACCCCTGACCCTGACACGCCGTTTTGTGTGGCCGTAGTCTTGAAAACATCCATCCAAACTACATTATTGTTGGGTGGGGACTAATCTCCAAGCAGATATGAGGTTGGGGAGAAAATCTCTATTCTTCTGCTGTTATTGTGTTCTTGTCGTTTGATACTGCACATCAATTTATAAACCATATTAATGTTAATATTTATGTAAATATTAATGAATGTCAATGTACAACAAGACGTAATTCGGTATGGGGCTGCAAAGTTTTTTTCTGAATAAAACCATTTTCTTATATTGTGAGGTTGTGCCATTTTATCATTGATAATGCTAGTGCTTGTGATATTCTAATTTTAACCACAATTTTTAAAATGTACTGACAGAAACCAGATTCAGTCTCAAGAACTGCAAATCTGATTACAGAATAAAGATCGACAGTTACTTGTATAAAGTTTGAAAACAAAATAAAGTGAAAAGGACACCCCAGAGGCCCTATTTGTTTATTTGAAATTCATACGGAACAACAACTATGGCTACAAAATTATAGATGGATACGATGGTAATATATACGGATATACGTTTAGGATACATGTATATGGTTTCCTGTTTGTCTGATTTGTAACCTTGCTATGAGATAGGTGATCTTAAAATATATGATGATTATTTCTGATCGTGAATGAAAGCACATTATTTACTACTGTTACTATATGTTAGTATATTAATTATTGGTCTTTACGGCAATACTGTAACGTTATGCACAATGCCGTTGAAAGTACAAAATATAGTAAAGAAGTAAAACTTACGAAATACCCCTTCAAACCAGAAGGCTGTGGGCCACACGCCGAAGAACATGGCGTCATGTTTGCTAAATAATTGAAAATCTGGACTCAAATGTTACATTCTTATAGATTTTTTCAACGTCAACAAGCAAGGTATAGTGTGAAGAAAACTGTTGTATGGCACTCACACGCCACCTTGCGATAGAGAATAAAAAGACAGGACTTCGGTCCTTAACAATGAAATATACAATTTTTGGGGGTACCACATCTTCTCTTCTACACGTCCTGCTCACGAGGCAAGATCTCGCGAGAGCCTCTCCGAGAGTTCACAGACAAAATCGAACAGCGAGATGTCGTCATCCTCCTCTTCCAAGAGGTCAGTGACCTCTGCAGCCTCGGTCTGGCGGAACACAGCCTCGATGTCGTGAAGGGTCTTCGCGGGGACTTCTGGGTAACCGTCGGAGTTCGAAGTTATCTGTTGCGTCAGGATTGCCTGAACGTCTTGCCTAAAAATGAACAAGTACAAGGTTTACTTTACAAAGTTAACATTTGCAAAGCAAATGCATAATGTTTACCTTCGCATATGGTCTGCTCTGTTAATTCTTACTCAGACACATTTCATATACTATATATATATATATATATATATATATATATATATAATCCAACATGATATAATCCAACACCAGTTACCATGGTAACAAGCGTCTGGTTCATGCCATTGACTTTATTTGTTTGGAGAAGTAGATGAGGAAGAAGAAACAGAGCAAAAACAATATCTTTTCCTTCTGAGAAGGTAAACATAAAAATACAACTGACACGTATCTTATTCACTATATTCATCAACTGGAATTGACTTCAAGACGGTTGCATTTTTATTTAGACTTGTAAGCAAGACGAAAGCACAAAGGAATGACGTAATTATCCTACCACTTTTTCTGGTCCTCCATTTCTGCACATTCTGTGGCGAACAAGTTCTGTAAGGGAAAAACAGGAAGATATTGTAGACTTGCGGAAATCATCTTGGTTCTCAAGCCCGGCTTAGTGAGGTTTATCAATTATCAAAATTCTGTTATTTTTCAGGAAGAAAGATTGGATTTTTTTTACTGCCATAACTGTTTTCCTTTCATTTAGCTCACTCCAACATTACTTTGAAGTGTGCCGTTCCCGTTGAAAGTAGATTACGACCTTGAACTGACCTTGATCTCCTGTAGTACCTCTGTCACTAGTGTGGCTCTGTCCATATCCAAGATGGCGGCTTCTCCTCCTGAATCTGTTTCCTCTTGAGTCGCCCCATCAGGTGAGTCTGTATACGTAGAATCTAGAATAACACATCGTTTGGCTTCATTATAAGATGATCTTTTCTCACAAGCATTTTTACTTTTCAATGGTCCACAAATAACAAAAAAAAATTTGAAAAATTGACAGGTTTGCCTCAACGTATGCTGTTTTTTTTATCGGCAAGATCTGAGATTGAATATAGAACGTACGGTACCAACTACAGCCTTCCTCAAGTTCGAATGACCACTGTCGTGTATGTCACGTGACCATACAAGCACGTGACGTCAGATGCTGTTTATAGATAACAGGAGGTTCATTTTCTTAGACTTTAAAAGGAACTGCTAGAAAGTTCATTTACTTTAACTTTGAAATGGAACAGCTAGGAAGTTCATTTAGTAATACTTAGACTTTGAAATGAACAGCTTGATCTTTTTCAAATTGAATACTTGAAGTAAAGAAGATACCTATTATTTGCTGTCTTTTGGTTTTCTTCAGAACCAGGTGGGTTCCTTCCACAATTCCTAGATCTTTGAGACACGCGTCTGGATCCTTAAGCTTCCGGCCGTCGTTATGCAGGATGGCCTAGAATATTACAAGACATAGCCATGTACATGTCTTCAAGTACCAGAGTTATCAAACAAGGATTGAGGTGTTCAAGAATTCATTCTTTCCTAGAACTATCGCAGAGTGGAACTCACTGTCACAAAGTACAGTGGGGGCATTGTCATTAGATAGCTTTAAACAATGTCTAGAGTTAGATGTTCAAGGGCTAGGTGTAACAAGTCATCGGTCTAATGTAGCCAGCTGCCGCCGCGCCGCGTGCCTGTGAAGTTGGTGTGTTACGCCGAAGGGTGGTTATACCGGCTATACAGATACAGAAGCTGGTGTGTTACCCCGAAAGGCGGTTATACCGGCTATACGGATACAGAAGCTGGTGTGTTACGCCGAAGGGTGGTTATACCGGCTATACAGATACAGATACAGACCTGTCGGGCGCAGGGGACGTGAGTTTCTCGGGTCAGGGCGGCCATGAACGCCGCCAAGGGAGAGTCGGGCTGTACGGTGACGTCCATGGTGGTGGTCGGGCCGTCATCGGGGGTGTACTGTACACTCACAGTGAAACCTGGGTTCAATGATATTTTGATTTTTTTTAATTTAAAAAAAATCATATCTTTAAGATTCTTTACAAATTTAATGTTTTTTAAGAATATTCTTGAAAACGTTTTATTAATTAATGTTTTAAACGTCCATGCTAGACTTTATACTTGATATTTCGGGTATTTTTGATATCTCAAAAAGAGTCAAATTTAGAGCTTCCCTTCGGCCCTTCACTGAGACATAATGCACCTTCCCTGTTTCGTGTCCTCCAGACCAGAACACTAACGTACCTTCCCCATTGTCCTGTCCGTCACAGCCGAACCACGCCCAGTCGCCCCTGGCAACCTCCGTCTCCCCGCACCTGCACACCTGCGTGACGTCATGCTGCACGTCCGTGACTGTTACCTGCATGGTTGGGAAATAACGTCATTCAATTTAAAGTTTCTTCTGTCTTCAATGACATTATACTTTTTGTGTGTTTGCTTATGGACATATACAGACCACATGGGTTGATTTACTAGCAAAGTGCAAGTGTTAAGGTATACAAGAGCTATCAAAAAACTGGCCGAAAATCCGTGTTCTTAAAGTCTTTGGGGGGGGGGGGTTGTTATGATCATACCAGGTGTGAAGAAGCAAAACACGGCACACAACTTGGCATGTTCAGCATGTTCAGCATACGGAATCTACTATCTCCAAGATAACTAGCTGGTACGTATAATACTATGCATTTTTCTACAGTTCATACAAATTGCAAAACTCCTAACATTCTGTTTTGTTTCAAACTAAGACGTTTAATGCACAAAGTCAAAGGCATCGTCGACTTAGGTCAACCCAGGTCAGAAGAAACAACAAAGCACAGGTAACCTTACCAGGTGAAACTTGATCTATGTAAACAATAGGACAGGTACACTTTTGTTCACAGGTAAACCCACTGAGAGTTGGAAAGGGGACCTGACAAACTAAAACATATTCTTACGATTCTTTGCAGAATGAGAGCTGACATTCATGTTTCAATATCACAATATGACATTAATTTCACTACCTCCCACTACATTTGATACCAGAATATACGTCAAATAAGGCAGTGCACGATGCAGGCCACCCCTTCAAACGGTACAGCCAATGACCTTTCAACCGTAAACATTTCAAATGCCAAATCGAGAGTCACTTCCGCATTGGGTGTAAGGGGAGGGACGCCATCTTATTTCTGCTGAAAATAAAGCTGTGTTCTTTGCTAGAATGGCTGAAGAAGCGAGGGAACTTGTAGCTCAGGCAGGTCAGGCTGCCGCCCAGCCTGCGATAGAAATGTTGGCTGAGTGGGGCCGGGTGTACCTGCGCATCACCGATGTTTGGTTGGCTCGTGGCATGGCTATAGGTGCGTTCTACCTGGCCAACAGGTACCTAACTATGAGGGCTGTCCGTCGGGCTGTTGAGAGGAGGGACCCCGACAACCCCGACCAGCCAGCCGACCCACAGGTGGGCTTGGAGGCAGAGGTGGACTCCCTCCTGGTTCCTGTCATCTTCTACTCCCAGCTGGGCTACCAATACTTCACCTCCATCCAGGGTGGCCCCTTCCTCAAGGTCTGCCTACAGACAGAGCTGGAGAAGGTCGGCTATAAGGAGCCCATCGACGTGAGCGTGGAGAGGTGGGAGCTACCAAACCTGCCGGAGGGGGGAGCAGGGCCAATGATGGGGATGATGGGGGAGGAGAGAGTTCTGGGCTGGCTGGCAGAGTTACCGGAAAAGGTGGGTACATCACTTTCAATACCCAATAATTATCTTTATGGCCCATGCAATGTATACATGTCTGAATTTTTTTCTTTAGGCATTTTCTTAAGAACGCTAACTGTACATGTGTTTCTACATGATTGGAATATGAGGAAGTTCCATTCAATACAGAATTTAATGTATTTGCAGACGAGCATACTCAGCACAGCAGCAGGGGATTCTGGGATACCTGAGGATGTGTCCTCTGAGGCAGGTGTCTCTACTGTTGCATCACGGGAGGATGTAGAGGAGAAGGAGGAGAAGGAGGAGGAGGAGGCTGGACCATCACAGACGAAACAGGCCAGACTTCAGCAGCAGCCTCCAGTACAGGTCGCACCTACTTCACAGCAGGCTGAGCTACAGGAGGGCCCACTGAAGAGGTGGAGAGCCGGGCTACTGCAGCACGAGGACTCACCAACTGCACAGACATGGCTCAAGGCCTTCAGCTGCCTGGAGAGGGGGGCAGCCATGCTGACCAGCGGGGGGTACCAGGAGGGGGAGGGGGTGGAGCACCTGATGGAGGGGTTCATACTGATGGAGTTACTGTCACCTGATTATGTTAATATAGTCCTTTATGACCAGTCCTGGCTGCATCTGGACAAAACAGAGTTGGACCGGCTCATCTCCAAACAACTGCAAGCTAACCCTGACAGCACCCCCTGTCTGCTAATACAGGCACTGCAGCTTCCCGAGGGACACAATCAACAGCAGGCCTTAACCCATGTGATAGACGTTGTTCTACAGCATGGAGAAACAGACCCCATGTACAAACATCTGGCTGACATATACTTTACTTTAGGCTATACAATATGGCAAACCACCAGACAACCAGCCCCAGCCCTATCTGTCTTTGCCAGCGCCCTTATGTACAGATCTGACCACCTGCTAACCCTGTACTTCACAGCATGGTGTTCCATGGATGTGTCTGTCCCACAGGCCATTAGGCAGTTTCACCACTACATCCACACAGCTCCTACAGACGATCCCTTGGTGCCATGGGCTCATTGCTTCCTGGTTATCCTGTACGGCCGGCAGGACCAATCTGTCCACAGGGACAGAATCCTGCACCACTACAACATGGCCCAGCAGACTGACAGGAACAGGCTGCCTGTGTTTCCACCAGCCCCTAGTGGGGTAACAGACCCAGCCAGGAGGGTGTATGAACAAGCATTGGCACAGACCTTCACTAGCGATGCATAAGAACGGATTGGAAGTACATGATTAAGATGTAATTCAAACGTTCTCTGTGAGAACATCACACTGCTTCTATTTCAAAGTTATGAATTAAATAACATACTCAAGTTGATAAAGGTGGAAGGAAGTCTAGTACTAGTACCACTTATTATTATATTTGCTAACTTCTAAGCTACAATACTCTCTGTATGACATTAGAGTAGGTTGTACTGTTATGAATGGCTATAGGATATACACATATGTTAACGACTGACGGAATCCTACTATACTTCGTACCACTACACTTGCACTCATTAACACTTAAGTTACAATGTTCTGTATAATACATTAAGTTATACTCTACGTTTGACACGAAGCACAAGTCGCAGGCACTCTGTAATGTTTAACATTTACCATCAACAGACTGCTGTCCATGCACGAACTTAAGTTGCTACATGTAAAATAAATGCTGCCTTTTATTGTTAATTCGGAAGTTACACTGTAAGTGATGTTAAATACCTTGAGTCTAGTAAGTACGTAAACCTTGGTGTTTAGCTCCCACATATAATAATTAGGTTTAGTTTACTAACTGTGTTGGAATCTAGTTCATTTTTTCAAAGAGAATCAAAACTTGTCTAACTTTGGTAATTATCGTATATATCTTTGTTGTTTGCTTTGGTGTAGTTTGTTTGCTGTTTTTTTGTTTGGTGCACCTTTTTCTAATAAACAAGAGATTTGGATTCAATGATGTTTATCAACATGCTGTTTTTTTCATTCCACATTGCGTGATCACGATATAACCGTAAATCAGCACATGTCAACCCCTTTTCACCCTACAACTGAATGAATAAATGAATGAATGAGTGAGTGAGTGAGTGAGTGAGTGTAGAAATGAATGCAAGAATGGTTTAACATAAAATACTTACAACAATTAAACTTCAAACGATTTTACGATTAGACAATTAGACATACGCATTGCATATTAAAGATACATTTCATGTAAGCTGTAAAAGACAAACGCTCTTACCACAGCACCGAAGCGGACTGCCAAAACCAACGTTACCTTTGCGACGGGGGCCGATATCGTCTTCCAGATACCTTTGACCTAGTGTTGACGTGAATGACGTCACACTTCAAAGCAGCCACGTGACAAGTTACACTGGGTCAGTCTACTGACTGAGGAAGACCAGAGTGACTGGTCTAAAGATCTAGGTGAGATTACTTTTTTGTGGTGGATCAAGAATTTTAACTTTAAACATTACCTTCACGAGTCTCAGCCGACTTCTGTCCTTAGTTCCGGTAAACTTGACTCTGATCCATTCCATCAGTGTCCTGGGGCGTTTCTTCCACACACGCACGCCGCTTAGCGGAAACAGCCCGGTACTGTCGCGATAAAAACGTGTCTGGTACGTCCTGTGGAAAAGTAATGACTATTAGCCTCCTGTGCAGGCCTCTGGGCGGGTTGAAGTTTTGATAATGCGTTTTGTAGAATTTTTAACGCGTTCTTTTGCCGGCCGTGGCGGATACTTCTCTGGGCGGCTGGATGTTAGCCTGGGTACCATCCGGATTTTCGCTCCGCAACGCTCGAAAAAATGAAAATAAATGGCCGCAATGACTCACAAAATATGGGGAAAATGAGCGAATGCCAAACCAAATCCTGTTGCTATGTTAAAAATATGTTGGCTAGAATTCTTCTGAATGTAATTAAGTCAATGTTAACCGAGGTGAAGACTCAAAAGTTGATGTTAAGATTTACACTCCACCAGGCCTTTCTACGGGAATACGGATCGTAGAATTCGGCAAAAAAGAGAGTAAAATTGGCCAAGGGAGTCAGGCCACGGGAAGGTAGTTTCTTTCCCAGTCAAACCTACAAGGCGGCCAAACTCCCCTGGCAAATATTCTCCTATATATAGCTAAAGCCAGCGTACATGTAGTTAGTCTGGTAGAGACTAGTTAAGATTTACCCCGAGGTAAGCAGGTCCTCCTCCCGGACAGTAATGTCCTCCCGAGTTCCGCCCGCCCCGAGCAGCCTGAACACGAGGCTATCCCTGCTCAGCCGCGGTGGTTCATCCTGTCGGTACGTCACCCTTAACGCGTCTGCAAGAAAAACATGCAGCAGATGATGAATTAGCCTCTACCAGGCTTCGATCAGGCGATGGAAAGAGTAGAAATGAGTAGCCTCTACCAGGCTTCGGGAGATGGCCGAAAACTGTAGAAATCGGTCAAATAGAGAGATAACATGCCAGGGGAGTTGGTCTGCTAGTGAGAACATTTTGCCGCACCCGAAATGTTCTCTCTAGCAGACCAACTCCCTCGGCATGTTATCTCTCTATTTGACCGATTAATACTCTTTTCAACCGCCTCCCGAAGCCTGGTAGAGGCTATATATGGATCACAAACAAAGACATTGAGTTTGCCTATATTTGTCCTTTATGTCTTGATATAGTCACATACTTGAATTACAAACAATTCGTCGTATCTAATAATTGACAATGAAAAACGCACAAAAATCCATCCATACTTTTTTGAGCCACCGTTAAACAAATAAACCCTTGTGAAAAGAAACAAAAATGTCCTCACATTGTCCAGCCCTGTCCACCTCCCCTCGTGCTAAAGTGTAGTTCCCTTCGAACTCTCCGTCCTTCAACACGCCGTCTCTGGCTATGGTGACCTTGTCCGTCACGTTGACCTTGGCCAGTTTGAAGGCCAAGATGGCGTCTCTCACGGCGTGAAGGTGTTTTTCGGGCGTCTCCTTTTCCCGGCAGACATCGCAGCTGACGTCACCCAAACAGGCGCCAATCAGCAGTTTGAGTTTCCCGCCATATCTTACCCTCTCCTCCTCACCTTTGACCTTTTCCCATGAGAGCTCCTTTGCTGCCAAAACGTGGGTCATGACTAAGAAACTGTCGTCATCGTTCCTTAATTTCTCCCTTAAAGAGAGACTTGCCAGGTTATTCGCAAGGGTTTGAAAGTCAACTGCGATCTCTCGGAGGCCCCTACACGTGACCTTGACGGTTGAACGTTTGACCTTGCAGTAGGTCACGCCCACCTCGCCGACATGATGCACTCCCACTCCGCCCCCTCCTTCAACCTTCATCACCATGGTTACGATATCATATTTCTCTACCTCGTGGTCAGCCCGGGACGTCTGTACTTGGTCTAAGACATCGGAGGCTGGCGGCTCCGTAAACTTAAAGGTCCGTTTTGCGCGGAATGTTGTGTTAAGATTCGGGTTATCCAGAGGTTCTAAGACGATGCTGCCGAGTTCGGTGCACTTTGATGTTTTCATCAGGACGGTTTTTGGCGGGAACTTTTTCTCGCTGACAGAAATGTCGTCCACCAGCCACCCGGCCCCTCCCACATAGGTCGTCAACACGTGGTTGCCAAGGGAACGGTGGTACGACAGAAAGTCGTCTGCGACGTTGTTATTGGTCGTCTGGCTTTCCATTGTGTTTGAGTTCTGACCTGAAATGAAACATGGAGTTAGAAGGAGACCATGAATGCGCCAAAAAAAACAGTTACTCAAGCAACTGGATATGATTTTGGAAACCGCCAGACGTTTCAGCTAGTATCCCCTAGCTTTCGTCAGTGACTGAGAGACCAGAGGAGAAATGCAGGTTTGTAAGCACTAACTATTGATTTACATGCAAATAAATGAAGGCAAATAAATGAAGTCCAGAAATAAACAAAAGTTAGACACGTCAAGACGAGATGATGCAGACCATGAATGGAAGAAAAGAGTATTGTTTTTTTTGCCAAGGACATTATACAGAAGTTTATAATGTCCTTGCTTTAGCCATGTTAACGTCATTGTCCCAAAATGGTGGCAACCTAATTTCACCATAATACCTGAGTTTTGCGAATTGACGTCTTGCAGGCGACGAAAAGTCCAAGCCACGCTGTGGCCAAGACTCACACACCAAAATATTTACCCCCGAAGGCTTGAACTGACCTCAGCATTCTAAGAATTTGAACTGCAACAGAATCGAACGACAGTAAACATCTGCTACGAAATTTGCATAGGAAAGAACTCGACCGACAACTGTCGCCCCATGTTTACAATCTACTGTCGCAAAGCACTATTAAGGCCACACCGCCTTAATTTTCTGGATGACATCCCCTGAAGACCCCCAAACTAGGGCGCGCGGGCGAATAATAAAAAAATTCCGGCCAAAATTAAAAATGCTACCAAACCACAGGGATACAAAGCTGGCATTGTGAATTTGCGGCAGTGCAAAGCGACATATACTACAAGCAGGCTTTTTGCGGAATTTATGAATTGGCACTGTGCCTATGTACTTAGTTTTTGCCAGTCGTGGAGCTTCAGTAGCCCGGGTGCCGTCCTCCAGAGTTACCACCGGCTCCCTATTGTCGCTAACTACCATGGACTATCCCAGCCCTGTTTTTGAGAACAGGCAAAAATCAATGCGCGCGCGGATGTCATCCATAAAATTAAGGAGGTGTGGCCTTACTAGTCACAAGAATCTACGTTAACATACGTCTACCACAGCCTTGCTAAACTAGCGTGGAAATGAACACCTTTTGCGAAGTATGTGTGACAAGCGATCTTAATTGTAGGGCTGTGGACACAGTTTCGCCCAGGTTAGGTGTGTCTTAATTGGTACATCTGGGTCATAAAATGGCCATGCTTGCCACCGTCTGGTCAGAATTACAGCTCTACAACAATCATTTGGACATAAAATGGTGTACAGTGCACCACACATCATGCCAGTGCAGGAAAGACGAAACACGTTTCAAGGTTACCAAAATGGGGGGGGGGGACCTTACGGTACTCTCCAAGCAGAGGTTGTGGGGAAATGATCGTTAGCTTTTTATATATGGCCGTTTTTTTTGTCGCTACCCCCGTGGCCGGAGGCCGGCGACTTTCTCTGGCTAATACAGTCTTGCCACAGAAAGGGATCTGCTCAACCTTACGGCAAGGAAGCCCGAAGGCCTCTACTGACTGTGCCTGTATGTCCTGGGCGGGCAACTTATTCCATTCACGTATTGAACGTGAGAAAAAGAAGAAGAAGAATTACAGCAGTCTTTTGCAGCAGGGGTGAGGAACTTTAGGGCATGACTGTCTCCGGTACATCGCTAGGCGGGTTTAAGTCATTGTTCCGTAGCCGTAGGTATGTGCAAGGACATTATAATGTCCTTGGTATGTGTATGTTACTCTCCAAGCAGAGGTTTGGGTTTGGGGTTTTTGGCGTGTTTTTAGGCTTTTTATCGGGGTTTCTTTCTTCCACTGGAAAGAAAAATCCCAGTGCTAAAAAGAACCCTGATAAAAAAGCCTAAAAACACGCCAAAAATAACCCAAAACCCAAACCTCTGCTTGGAGAGTATGTGCATGTGGCCTTGAGTTATTTTGAAAAGTGTAGCCAGGCGTGCTTCCCTGCTTCGCTTTCCCTCAAACTTCCGCGACCTTATCTTGGGGAGTTGTTCTTACTTCTGAGTTGTTTGTTCTTGAATAACAGACGACCGAAACTGGAACGGTTCCGCTATACTAAGAAGAAGATTTCATCACCAAGAATCCTGCACGTGGCTGTTTCTCAGTTGAACACTTAGTCAAAAGCCAACTGTTTTTCTTTAGTTTCGTTCACAAACTTTTTTCCTCCCATTTCATACATCGATACATGCTAAAAAGTACAGCGAACATAAGTTATTTCTACTGTAATGTGAATGAAACTTAATGACTACCAAGTGCACTGTTGCATTGGAAGTGTCACATACACACTTGCTATTGACTGTAAAACATTACGTCATGTTTCCTTGTCAATTTTACTCTTATGGTATCCTTATAATCTTCTCGTGCTAATTACCCTTTCTAATCAACCATGATGTTTTTAAGTCTTCTAAACGAGCATCAATAATCCTAACTCATATTTATCCTAACAATAACTAACATTTTGTTTTAATTGTGCGAAGGTAAGCCCAACTTAGAAAATGATATATTTATATATATTCTATCCATAATGTCACATAAGCCTGATTCAAAATGTTAGATTGCCAAAATTTTCCGGCGTCGTTACCAGTTCAGATCTAAAGCGATCAATATTTTCTGTCAGTGATGCCCTTGTAAAAAATCGTTGACAGTTTTTGACCCAGTTCAACGGGCCCGCTCCTTTCCTCAGTGACTGCTACAGCTACACTATACTGCTTAAGTAATACAATACGGGACACCAAAAATACCCTGACGTATAACTGTGGGACCGCGCCAATCACCACGTTAACGACACAGCTACAAATACAAGCACAGAAGGACACTAACAGTAGGAACACAAGACTTACCGTGGACTTGAGAAGACTAGAGGACACTTGCGACCAGCGACCACGTCTTGAGCTTGAGGAAGTAAGCTTCCAAATGAAAATGAAAGGAGGAAAATACGAGACGGGGTGGGACTTAAGTCCCACTGTGTGGGCAGTGTCACACACCGTTACTATATATAGTTAGTGTACCTCATAAAGCATGGGCATGTGTGGTCTGGGCTCCAGCTTTGGAGTTCAAGCAGATGTTGGGACATCATTGCTAGAAAGCTTTAAACAACTCCTGCAATTAAATGTGCAAAGATTTAGTGTAACGATTCGCTCGGTGTGATACGCCGCGCCGCGTGCCTGCGAAGCTGGTGTGTTACACCGAAGGGAGGTTTAATATTTCGATACAGATGTTTAATAGGAACGTCCGTACATGTCGCTAGATGACATGAGGAAATAGAAAGTTCTGTGAGTATAGTAAAACATGGTCAACGTGGGCCTGTGTGAACAGTGTCACACGCCCCGACTGTTACTATATTTACTGTACGACGTAAAGCATGGGCATGTGTGGTCTCCAGCTTTAGAGTCCCGTTTTTGGAGCCCAAGCAGATGTTGGGAACGTACGTAGGTCGTTGGGGGCATGGAGAAATGAAAAGTGTGTGTCACAATCCACGACTGTGCTATATTTAACATAAAGCATCGTGGCATGTATGGGCTCCTACTTTGGAGTCCAATCAGATGTTGGTAGCCTGGTTAACCAGATCGCCGTGAGCTCAGCGCTATCCCTCCGGCGCCGAGAGCGTTTGGGGCCGCCAACCAGGCCTCGAACGACACACGACACACTCAAGTTTTTTCAACTGATATTTATGCCGTCACCAACACAGGGGACAAATACATGACAGGACAATACTCATTTTCACCTGAGCGAAGTGAGGAAAGTCGTGTTAAGTGCCTTTCCCAATGGCACAAGATCGGTGGCATGTCAGGACTCGAACCCGGGATCTCTAGGTTCTGAGTCGCTGAACAGGAAGTACAATCATGTAGGAGGGCGGGAGCACAATGAGACCGTTGTAACAATATACCATGAGACTTTTTTCAACACGTCACAATTAATCTTTATTTACTGAACAACACAAAGGCATGCCAAGCATGTTTGTTCTCCAAGCAGATGTTGTGAGTGTACATAGTTCGGTAGAGGCATGAGAAAATAGTCGGGCGGTATCTCACGTACAATACACCATTATAGATTGTTGTAACTTGAGCCAGTGTGGGTGTTATCATGTTTCGACACGCCACAATAAAACCTTTTATGTCATACGTGGGCCGCGATTACGTTCGATACGGGTGTTCCGGCCCGGGTCGTACTTTACGGTTCGGCCCGGTCTTCTTTATAGGCGTACGGCCCGGGCTTCCATGGCTTCCATAGAATGATTCGAACGCGTTTCGCCCTAACCGCGTGCACCGCTTTCGAAAATTCGAATACAAACTTCGGACGTTGGAATTGATGTTGCATTTTTTTGGTTTAGGGACACAAAATTTTCGCTCATTTCACATTGAAAGGCGCGTTTTCTTGGGTGGTTATGACATAAAAGACTTAAGATTCCTCTAGGTAATATACATTCATCACTTTTATCATGACACTTTGAAACTTATACGCCAATTATGTATGGTTCTTACCTGTAGTCACTTTTTGTCACAGTAATTCCACCATATCATAAATAAAACACAATCAGAGCCTGCATGTTCATACATAATACGATTAAATTAGCACTGAGTGTCTACGCATGAAAGAAAGTCAAATTTTTACTACCATATATGACCTACATTGGTCATAACTGATCATGCTTTACTACCAAACAGACAGTAGAATCATTACAAACGGAATACCATAATGTCTTTCAGGTGCAGATAATATAACAACCTACGGTCACAAACTCAAGTCCTTAGTCACTTTTGTCCCTCCTATTCTGGACAATAAGATTTTAGATTGTGACGCTAACAATAAAACTAGAAAGGTAACATTTGAAAACAAATGCATAATGTTTAAGTTCTTTGCATGTGGTCTTCTCTGTTAATTCTTACTCAAATACATTCATATATGTGGTCAGACAGGAGTCTAAATCCCTCCTACAGCTATAAAATTGCAACATGACGTAACCCAACACCAGTTACCATGGTGACAGACGTCAACAAATCAGGTCATTGGCCAGGTCAGTGTCAGTGGAGAAGAAGAAGAGGTGGAAACGTTGCAAAAACAATATGTTTTCCTTCGGTAACCATAATTAATGACTCTCTAAAAACACACAAAAATAAAGTCGTCAAAAGTTAAAAAACCAACAGCAAACTTTGCCATTTTCCAGGACAAATCCTAGTATTGATATTTAGTTTTACTGTGAGATTTTTCTCAATCTGACATGACCCACTCTTCAATTTCTTGTAATACTCAAACCTGGCAGAGGTACAGGGAACATCGTAATTATGTTGAATTTTTAATATTTACAATTATGTTGAATTTTTAATATATTACATATAATTACAATACATTTTAATATAGCGAGTTATGCAACAACAACAATAAAATTACACAATACTGCTAAAGTTCTATACACATATGTACTGATTATGTTATTTACAACTTTGTATTAAGTTCTTTAATTTAATTTGATGTTTCAAGTCTGACCTTCTGATTCGGACTTGGATTTATGTTTCTATGATTTCTGTACCTATGTTTATGTTCATGTTTATGTTCTGGTGTCTTATAAGCCCATATGGGCTGGGTGACAAATCTCGCAAGACACGTAAATAAAAATTCATTCATTCATTCATTCAGTCATATATTACATGAATGATAAAGACTAAACGATAACGGGCCGTACAGAAGGATAGCCCGATGAAGGAATGAGTTACTAAGTCTCTATGTGCGAGTTGTTGGTACTGCGCTGGATATTAAACCTTGTCCTGCGGAGCCAAACAATTGTTGTCTTGCACACAGTACCACCTACTGTATATATCACTATGCATAGGTACTACTTTGGGGTATTTCTCGTGCAATGCATGTTGAATTTTTAATATTTATAATTATGTTGAATTTTTTATATATTACATATAATTACAATATATTTTAATGTAGCGAGTTATGCAACAACAACAATAAAATTACACAATACTGCTTAAGTTCTGTACATATAAAGTTATGTACCGATTATGTTATGTACAACTT